ACCGATTTTAAACAATTTCCGAGTTCCAATTAGCTGGTGCAAATTTATGTATTTAGCCGTCCGGTATCACGTGTGTTGGCGTGATGTAGTGAGACGGAGCTTCTCTAGGGTAAATAGTGTGGCAGTTTAATTAAAAACCATTACTCAGGCACCCTTCCATTAAGGTGGGGTTTCGCTTTAATGGCGCAATTTTTATTTAATTTGGAAGCGCGAGCAAAAATTGCGCCAGTTCAGAATTTCATTGAGTTATTACTTTAGCGTAATTAAATATTTTAGAGGAATTAAAACCATAGTTGTCTCTCTTCAAGGGTTCGTGCTGTAAAACGGGGTTTTAAATGAGTACGTAATTGAGTCATATCTTTAAATAATGCACATTAAACCTGCGTAACTGTGTTTTATTGAAATGAGTAACAGAAATAATGAAAAAAGTACATTTCAATGTTTTATCATTGACTGACGTCAATGCAGGCAGAATTATCTCGATTAGTTTTAATAACCGGTTGAAACGGTAAGAAAGTCCACGGCACGGTTAAATTGAGTTTTGTTTTCATAGAAATTGAACTAAAAGTTAACTCAACGAAGGATGTGCTCAGTTCCAGCAGACTCCATAAAAATCCGGAAGATTTGCCAAGAAAGATCGAATCCGCACAATGGAAGATCGTCCCTTGAAACATATTAAACTTAATTGGAAAATCAAGGGTATTTTCTGGGCACTAAATTTTAAATAAATACACTATCAGGCGCCGTATTCAATATTGCTTCTAGCGTGATCATGATCATTGATCAGAAGAAGGTTCGTGCCGTAATATCCCTAACGGCTTTCTTTTTCTCTGCTCCCTTTTTATCTCTAGATGCTGCTTCTTTTATGAGGGTTAAGAACATCATGTTTGAGCTAATTAGCCATCAGTACGGTATTTTTCCTTGTTTTTGTTTTTTTTTTCGTGCTAAGATGGTTTTATAATAGGGTAATAGGTTTTCTCGACGTTTGTCTGTCTGTTTGTCTGTCTGTCTGTCTGTCTGTCTGTCTGTCTGTCTGTCTGTTTGTCTGTCTGCCTGCCTGCCTGTCTGCCTGTCTGCCTGTCTCTGTGTTTCTCTAGACTGTTCGATTTTCGAGAGTCGATTTTTGAATTTTCGTATCCTCAATTCTCGATTTTTCGATTTTTCGAGTTCTCAATTTCTCAATTGTCGATTTCTCTTTTTTTGATTTTTTTATTTCTCGTGTTTAATTAATTAATCAAGACATTAAAAATTTGATAAACCAAAATCAAAAGTCAAGAAATCGAAAAATCAAAAGCATTAAAAATTCGAAAAATTGCAAAATCGAAATTCGAGAAACCGGGAAATTGAAAAATCGAAAAATTGGGAAATATGAATTCTAAAAATCCAAACACCGAAAAAGTGAAAAATCGAGAAATGAAAATACCAAAAATCGAAAATTCGAAAAATCGAAAATCGAAAACATGAAAAACACAAAAAATCAAAACTTTAAATATTCGAAAAACCGAGAAATCGAGACATTGAAAATAAAAAAATGAGAAATCGAAAAACTGAAAAATTGAGAATTGAGAATTTGAAACATCGAAACACTGAAAATACAAGAAATGAGAATGCAAAAAATGCTCGAAAATTCGGAAAATCGGAAAATCAAAACATTAAAAAATCTCAAAATCGAAATTCGAGAGACCGAGAAATCGAAAATTGAGAAACTGAAAAATTGAATATTAGAAATCGGCAATCGAAAAATCGAAACATGGAACATTCGAAAAATCGAAACACGGAAACATCGAAAAATTGAAATCAGAACAATCGAAAATTTGAAAAATCAAAATTTGCAAATAGAGAAATCGGAAATTCAAAATGTTGAAAATTTAAAACATCGAAATTTGAGAAATTGAGAAAGCGAGAAACCGAAAATCGAGAAATCTAAAAATCGAAAAATTGAAAAAATCAAAAAGTCCTGAATTTTGATTTTTCGGAACACTGAAAAACCAAAAAATCGAGAATTGATACGAAAATTCAAAAATAAACTCTCGAAAATCGAAAAACCGAACATTCGAAAAAAAAAAACGAAAAATTGTGATTGACAATTCGAAAAATCAACATTTGTAAATCAAGAAATCAAAAATTCAAATCATTAAAAATTCTACAAATCGAAATTCTGATTTTTTTGGTATTTTCAATTTTTCAATTTTTAGATTTCTTGATTTTCGATTTTTCGCGCTCTCAGTTTCTCAATTGTCGATTTCTCAGTTTCTCGAATTTCGGTTTTTCGAATTTTTAATGATTTGATTATACGATTTCTCGAGTTTTTGATTGAATTAATTAATCAAGACCTTAAAAATTTGAAAAATCAAAAGTCAAAAGTCAAGAAATCGAAAAATCAAAAGCATTAAAAATTCGAAAAATCGCAAAATCGAAATTCGAGAAACCGGGAAATTGAAAAATCGAAAAATTGGGAAATATGGATTCTAAAAATCCAAACACCGTAAAAGACGAAAAATCAAAACTTTAAATATTCGAAAACCGAAATTCGAGAAACCGTGAAATCGAAAATTAAGAAATCGAGAAATTAAAAATAAAAAAAATGAGAAATCGAAAAACTGAAAAGTTGAGAATTGAGAATTTGAAAAATCGAAACACTGAAAAATCGAGAAATGAGAATACAAATACTCGACAAACCGAGAAATCGAAAACTGAGAAATTGAAAATCAAGAAATCACAGTATTGAGAATTGAGAAATCGAAAAATCGAACATTCGAAAAAAAACGAAAAATTGAAAGTTAGAAAAATCGGCAATCGAAAATTCGAAGAATCAAAATTTGCAAAACGAGAAATCGAAAATTCAAAATATTAAAAATTTAAAAAATCTAAATGTGAGAAATCGAGAAAGCGAGAAATCGGAAATCAAGAATTCTAAAAATCGAAAAATTGACAAAACCAAAAAATCAGAATTGAAAACATTCCAAAAAACGAAAAATTGAACATTCGATAAATCGTCAATCAAAAATTCGACACATGGAAAAATTGTAATTGAGAATTCGTAAAATCGTACAAAAAGAAAAATTGAAAATCAGAAAAATGCATAACATTAAGAATTCTAAAAATCGAAATTTGAGAATTCGAAAGATTTCGATTTTCCGAATTCTCAATTTCCAATTCTGATTTTTTGGTTATTTTTTTTAGATTGCTTGATCATTGATTTCTCGATGGAATTTTTGATTTAACTAATTCATCAAGACATCAAAAATTCGAAAAATCGCAAAATCGGAAGTCGGGAAACCGGGAAATAGAAAACTTAGAAATCTAAAAATTTGAAAATCAAGTAACGAAAAATCGAAAAATTGAGAAATATGAATTCCAAAAATCGAAACACAGAAAAATCGAAAAATGAGAATACGAGAAATTCAAAATTCGATAAATTGACAATCAATTCGGGAAACCAACAAATCGAGCAATTGAAATTCAAGAAATCGAAAGATTTCGAATTGAGAATTTGAACATTCGAAACACCGAAAAATCGAGCACTGAGAATACAAAATCTCGAAAATTCAAAATATTCAAAATCGAACAATCGAAATTCGAGAAATCGAAAACTGAGAAATCCAGAAACTGAAAATCAAGAAATTGAAAAATTGGGAATCGATAATTCGAAAAATCGAATATTCGAAAAAAAACGCAAAATTGAAAATTAGTAAAATCGGCAATCAAAAAATGGAAACATGGAACATTCGAAAAATCAAAAAAAAGAAAAATTGAAAATTACAAAAATCGAAAATTCAAAAAATCAAAATTTGTAAACCGAAAATTCAAAACATAAAAAATTCTAAAAATCGAAATTTGGAAAATCGAAACATTCCAATTTTTCGAATTCTCAATTTTCATTTTTCGATTTTTAGATTTCTCGATTTGAGTTTTCAATTTCGCGCTCTCAATCTCTCAATTCAATTATCAGCTCGAATTTCGATTTTTCGAATTTTTAATGTTTTGACTTTTCGATTTCTCAAGTTTTGGATTTTTCGTTTTTTCGATTTCTCGATGTGACAATACATACGCGTTTATTTAATAATGATAACATAAACATTAAAATATTCAGAACATTTTTTTTTCGATTGTGGCTTAATTAATAATTTTAGTCCTCTGTTTGGAGGAGACAAAACTAATTCAAATAAAACTAATTTCTACGTGACATTCTTTCGATACATAAACATAAACACTTGAAGTTATATTGATTGTTAGCGCTGAAACGACATTTTATCCCACTAGTTATCTGTTTAAATATATTTAAATCGCAACACCATATTTTATATTTTTTTAATGAAGCGGAATTTGTCAAGGGCCAGGGACGTTCATCATAACAGACAGACAAATGATTTATTGCTGCAAAAATCCAAAAGGAAAAATTGTGTTCGCACTTTACGGAATGAATAAAAATAAGGTTGACGACTTTTTAGAAAATGTGTTAGTTTTTTATTTTAAGGAGTTAACCTAAAACATTAAAATCTACAAGTTCATGGACACATTAGTTAATGGAGTGGAGCTACTAAAACAGATTATTTATTTTACCTAGATCAAGCTACAATGAAATTATTTATTCATCTCGTGCACGAAGTTGATGACGTCAAAACATCGCTACTACAAAGTTCCGTGTGAATAATTGAATAATTTTTCGTCCTACGATTACGGCAGTTTCGAAACAGTTAATTGACCTAGTGACGCATCTCCATGCCACCAACCAAACAAAATCGTCCCCTCTCATCGCCACCATGCCACCCTCGCGGCGCCCAATTTCACACTTCCTCGTCGTCCCTCGCCCGTGCATTCCCACTCGCCGCGATCTTGCGGCAGTCCGGTCGGTCCGACCAGCGCGTTTCCGTGCATCGGCGCGACGTCACGGCGGCGGCGGCAGCGCGCATCCCGCCGCCGCCGGTCGATAGGGGCGCGCCGCCGGCAGCGCGCACCGGCTCCACGGCCGCGGCAGTACGCACGTGACGGCCGAGCGCGAGTGTGGCCCGCCATGGCCCGCGATGCTCAACGGTGGTGAGTCCGCGCCGCGGCTCCGGCGCCAGCACGGCTTCCAGCTGCCGCTGCACCCGCTGCAGGTCTCGGGCTGGCTGGCCCTGGCCGTGCTCTCCGTGGGCGCCTTCCTGGTGCTGGTGCCCGCGCTGCCCGCGCACGCGCAGCCCGCCTGTCTCGCCGCGCTCTCGGCGCTGCTGCTGCTGCACCTGGCGGCCCACCTCGCCGCCGCGCTCCTCGACCCCGCCGAGCCGGCGCTGCGGGCGCGCCGCCCCGAGCCCGTGCCCCAGCTGGACCGCGCCAAGCACGCGCACGTCATCGAGGAGGGCCGCTGCCACCTGTGCGGCATCCGCACCACCGGGGCCAGGACGAAGCACTGCAGCGCGTGCAACAAGTGCGTGGAGAGCTTCGACCACCACTGCAAGTGGCTGAACCACTGCGTGGGCGGCAGGAACTACGCGCCTTTCCTGATGTGCGTCTCGACGGCGGTGGCGGCCGCCGCGCTGGTGGCGATACTGGCCATTGCGGAGCTGGCGCTCCACCACTCGCACTGGCTGGACACGGAGAAGCTGCAGGTAGTGGCAGGGGGGCGGCGCACAAATACTTCCCTTGTTACCGAAATAGATTGCGGATGCATGCGATGTTGTTCTTCCGATTACCTGCTGGAAACGTTATAACCGGGAAGCATGCGAAAAAGCAGCTGGTTTGATTGAAACTATAGAACTTTGGGGGCTTTCAAGTGATTAAGAGAATTTATTGCCAGATTATTAGATTAAACAAAATGCTCGTTAAATGTATCAAGTTTTGTATCTACAATTTCTTAACGTATGTGTCATTTTCGCCTATCAATTCATAATTGGGATTAACAGATTCAAATTTGCTTTTTTAAAATCAGTTCATTATTCATGTTCATGTCTATCTTAATCGTTTCATGTTCTGGTACCTTTCTTTATTTCCTATACTATGTTTATATTTAGGAAAATTCACAATATCTAAGCTCCAGAATACTAACCTTACCTGACATGACTTGACCTAACCTGACTTGACCTGACCTGGCTTGACTTGGCTTCAACATACTAATGAAAACTACGCAAATTTAAGCGGACTCAAATAATTTAAATGGCCCACTTTATACAGGGTTGCTAGAATGTATGGAAACAATTAAATATCTGAGAACTAATTGTATAAATCAACTGAAATTAGGTATAGGGGTACAAGAAGTTGTACCCTAATTATTCGTCAAAAAAAAGGGCAACTTGTTTTTTTTTGGCACTACCATATAATTATGCATTTTTGAATACAGCTTTTTTTCTGAATTTTTCCCTGGTGTTTCATATTCTTTCGAATTCTTCTCGAATTACTTTAGTACTCTTTCGGATTCTCTCGGATCTGGGATTTTTTCGGATTCTTTGCGAATTCTTTCTAGGATTCTTCCTGATCCTCCCAGAATTTGACTGGATTCTCTTGCATTCTTTCGGATTCTTTCAAATTAATATTGGATTCTCTTGGATTCTTCGGTTCCTACGTTCTTTGTTTTCTCTCCCATTATCTTGAATTCTCTTGTATCTTCAGTTCTCTGGCCATCCTTTTCGAAATTTTATTTTGTCCTTGAAAGAGAATGACAGACTGACAAATTCACAGATGAATCTTTGGATTTTTTGCGTTTTTCGCGTTATTCCGAGTCTTTGAGTCCCTTGGGTTCTCTAGGTTCCTTGCTATCTTTCTGAGTTTTGTGGATTCTGTCCGATGCTCTTGGAATTTAACCATACTCTTTCGAGTTTTTTCGGATTCTCTCCAATCCTCTCGCATTCTTTTCGGATTTTTTTCGTATTCTCTCAGATTCTTCCAGATTCTCTTCCATCTTCTCGGAATTTGGCCGGATTCTCGGATTCTCTCGGATTTTTATGGATTTCCCCTTATTGTTTCATATTCTTTGGAATACTTCTCGGATTATTTTTTTGCTCTTTCTGATTCTCTCGGATTTTCTAGAATTCTTCCGGATTCTTTCCGATCTTCCCAGAATTTGACTGGATTCTCTTGTATTCTTTCGGATTTTTGCGTTTTCTTTCGGATTCTTTCGACTTGTTATTGGATTCTAATGGATTCTTTTGGATTCTTTCGAATTTTTTCAGATTCATACGAACTCTGTCGGTTTCTCTCGACATTTCCCAAATTCTCTCCCTGGGGTTCCTAGGTTCTTTGTTCTCTCTCGCATTATCTTAGATTCTCTGGTATTCTTTTGGATTCCTCCGAATTATCTCCGAACCTCTCAAAATTTAATGGAATTCTCCCATATTCTTCCGTATTCTTTTCGAATTTTTGTCCTTATTCTCTCGGATCCTTCTGAATTCTCCTAGATTCTCTAGGTTTCTTTCGGATCCTTCCAGATTCTCTTTGATCCTCTTGGAATTTAGTTGGATTCTCTCGTCTTCTTCCAGATTCTCTCATGTTTTCCCATATTCTTCCGAATTCTCCCCGATTCTCTAAATTTTTTTCGGATTCTTCCAGATTCTCGTATTCTCTTGGATTTTTCCGGATTCTCTCGTGTTATTTCATATTCTTTCGAATTCTTCTCGGATTATTTTGTATTGTATTCTTTGGGATTCTTTCGAATCTGGGATTTTTTCGAATTCTTTACGAATTCTTTCAGATTCTGTTGGGCTTTCTAGGATTCTTCCGGATTTTTTTCGATCCTCACAGAACGTTACGAATTGGATTCTATTGAATTCTCTTGGGTTTTTTCGGATTCTTACAATCCTGTCGTACGCTTTGGGGTTTTCTCTGATTCACACGAATTCTCTCGGTTTGTCTCGACATTTCTCGAATTCTCTCACATTCTTTGGAAATTGCTTCGGTTCTTTGGATTTTTTGTGTTTTTCGCGTTCTTCCGACTTCTTGGGTTCCTTGGATTTCCTAGGTTCTTTGTTTTCTCTCTTATTATCTTGGATTCTCCCGTATTCTTTCGGATTTTTTCGATATCTCTTGAATTTTTGTTGATTCTCTCCGATCTTCTCGGAATTTGGCCTGATCTCCCGTATTCTTTCGGATTCCTCCGGATTCTCTCCAAACCTCTCAAAATTTAATCGGATTCTTCCAGATTCTCTTCGATCTTCTCGGAATTTGGCCGGATTCTCGTATTCTTCTCGGCTTATTTTTGTATGCTTTCGGATTCTGTCGGACCTTCTAGGATTCTTCCGAATTCTTTCCGATCCTCCCAGAATTTGACTGGATCTCTTGTATTCTTTCGGATTATTGTGTCTTCTTTCGGACTCGTTCAAATTATTATCGGATTCTAATGGATTCTCTTAGATTCGTTCGAATTCTTTCAGATTCACATGAATTCTCTCTGTTCCTCTCGACATTTTCCAAATTTTCTCAATTCTTTGGAAATTGCTTCGGTTCTTCGAATTTTTTGTATTTTTCGCGTTCTTCCGACTTTTTGGGTTTCTTGGGTTTCCTATGATCTTTATTTTCTCTCGTATTATCTTGGCTTATGTCGTATTCTTTCGGATTTTTTTGGAATCTTTTGAATTTTTATGGATTCTCCCCGATCCTCTCGGAATTTGGCCTGATCTCTCGAATTCTCCCATATTCTTCCGTATTCTTTACGGATTTTTTCCGTATTTTCTCGCATTCTTCTGAATTCTCCTGGATTTTCTAGGTTTCTTTCGGATTATTCCAGATTCTATTTGATCCTCCTTGAATTTAGTCGGATTCTCCCGTATTCTTCCAGATTCTCTCATGTTTCCCATATTCCTTCGGATTGTTTTTGCACTCTTTCGGATTCTCTCGAATCTGGGATTTTTTCGGATTCTTTACGAATTCTTTCGGATTCGCTTGGACTTTCTAGGATTCTTCCCGCTTCTTTCCGATCCTCCCAAAATATGACGAGATTCTCTTGTATTCTTTCGGATTATTGCGTCTTCTTTCGATTTATTATTGGATTCTCTTAGATTCTTTCGGATTCATTCAGATTCCCACGGATCCTTTCGTATGCTTTGGGGTTGTCTCGGATTCACACGAATTTTCCCGGTCTCTTCCGACATTTCCCGAATTCTCTCACATTCTTTGGAAATTGCTTCGGTTCTTTAAATTTTTTGTGTTTTAGGTTCTTTGTTTTCTCTCGCATTAGTGGCTATTCTGTAACGCATCCGTTAAATTTAAGGGTGCTTTAAAATTGTCTATTTTACCGGGGTGTTAAATGTACGATTTAAAGATGCTATTCTGTAACACGAAAATAACGGACGCCGACAAAAATCCAACTTTTAAAGCACGTCCGTTAAATGCATTGTGAACCACCCACATCTGTAGGCAGTGTGTCCTCATCGTAGACTGGATGCACATGTTTACGCAGAAACTTTGACAGTTAAGCATATGAGTGTGTGAGGTTAAGTTAAACATCATACGAAATTCGCATGTTATATTCAAAAAATGTGGTCTTAACTGAAATTATTTGAAATATTTAACATTAATGAATGTTAAATGTTTAAAAAATTGGTCTAAAGAGTTCAGACAGTACTTCCCTCGCTGTCGGAAACTTGACGACTGCATGCCTATTGTGTTTTTTTTCTCATTACATATTTGTAGTGGGAATTTAAAAAAAAATTGCGATGACGTCATCAACATTTTTGCAAGGACACGTATGTCAGTTGGGATAGATGTAGTGTAATACTAAGAATAAAATTATTGTATTCCCAAATTTTCGGGAAAATGAATTGGGTCGTTTTGAATATTGATTTGTTATAATCATATATCTAATAGTACTATATTGCTAACTGGCCTCAAAAGATTCCGAAATCCGAAAACATAACGGCAGAGCAATATATCGGACCTCTCTGTCTCTCTGTGGTACTAAACAGTACTATTCTTATTTGAGTGCAATCAATAACTCCAATCAATTCAGAAAAACGTGGCTCTATTGCACTAAAGTTTCGTTCATTATTCTGCCTGGTTTGTGGAGAGTTCGGAAATTTTATCCACTGATTTAGTAAATGAGCCACAACGCAATTGGACACTTCTGCAATGCAACGACTCACACTTGGTTGACTTAATGCGAATGAAAAACCATGTCCAGTTCCCACCTGGTAATTTCCGTGCCCAAAAAAATGCTTAATTTAATCCTGATCAGAAAAAAATCTATATTTTTTACCTTTGCACACGTTCACGTCTTTCTTCCATAAGTGCCAAATTAATAATTAACCTATCTAATGCCATACTTAATTAAAGATTAATTGTTACCAGCAAAGCAAGTTTAATGCAAGTTAAAAAAACACAGAAAACAACTATAGGTTATATCCAAACCCTGCTTTAAATTTTAACGGTTGCTTTGGCCTAGCCGATAAAAATTCTCTCTTAAACGCTTATTTTAACCCACCTAACGTTAAATTTTAACGCACCTACCAGATACAGAATAGGTTTGTAGTTTTACCGTACCCTTAAAATTTTAACCGTGCGTTATTTTTATCGGATGTCTTACAGAATAGCCCCTATTATCTTGGATTCTTTCGGATTTTTTCGGAATCTTTTGAATTTTTGTGGACTCTCTCCGAACCTCTCAAAATTTAATCGGATTCTTCCATATTCTTTCCGGATTTTTTCCTTATTCCTTCGGTTTCTTCTGAATTCTCGTGAATTCTCTAGGTTTCTTTCGGATTCTTCCAGATTCTCTTTGATCCTCTTGGAATTTAGTCGGATTCTCTCGTATTCTTTCAGATTCTCTCATGTTTCCCCATATGCTTTCGGATTCTTTTCGCATTTTTTCGGATTCTCTCGAATCTGGGTTTTTTTTGGATTCTTTGCGAATTCTTTCGGATTCTCTTGGACTTTCTAGGATTCTCTTTGATCCTCTTGGAATTTAGTGGAATTCTCTCATATTCTTCCAGATTCTCTCATGTTTCCCGATATTCTATCGGATTCTTTTCGCACTCTTTCGGATTCTCTCGAATCTGGGATTTTTTCAGATTCTTTGCGAATTCTTTCGGATTCTTTTGGACTTTCTAGGATTCTTCCCGCTTCTTTCCGATCCTCCCAAAATATGACGAGATTCTCTAGTATTCTTTCGGATTATTGCGTCTTCTTTCGATTTATTATTGGATTCTCTTACATTCTTTCGGATTCATTCAGATTCCCACGGATCCTTTCGTATGCTTTGGGGTTGTCTCGGATTCACACGAATTTTCCCGGTCTCTTTCGACATTTCCCGAATTCTCTCACATTCTTTGGAAATTGCTTCGGTTCTTTAAATTTTTTGTGTTTTAGGTTCTTTGTTTTCTCTCGCATTATCTTGGATTCTTTCGGATTTTTTCGGAATCTTTTGAATTTTTGTGGACTCTCTCCGAACCTCTCGAAATTTAATCAGATTCTTCCATATTCTTTCCGGATTTTTTTCCCTTATTCCTTCGGTTTCTTCTGAATTCTCGTGAATTCTCTAGGTTTCTTTCGGATTCTTCCAGATTCTCTTTGATCCTCTTGGAATTTAGTCGGATTCTCTCGTATTCTTTCAGATTCTCTCATGTTTCCCCATATGCTTTCGGATTCTTTTCGCATTTTTTCGGATTCTCTCGAATCTGGGTTTTTTTTTGGATTCTTTGCGAATTCTTTCGGATTCTCTTGGACTTTCTAGGATTCTCTTTGATCCTCTTGGAATTTAGTGGAATTCTCTCATATTCTTCCAGGTTCTCTCATGTTTCCCGATATTCTATCGGATTCTTTTCGCACTCTTTCGGATTCTCTCGAATCTGGGATTTTTTCAGATTCTTTGCGAATTCTTTCGGATTCTTTTGGACTTTCTAGGATTCTTCCCGCTTCTTTCCGATCCTCCCAAAATATGACGAGATTCTCTTGTATTCTTTCGGATTATTGCGTCTTCTTTCGATTTATTATTGGATTCTCTTACATTCTTTCGGATTCATTCAGATTCCCACGGATCCTTTCGTATGCTTTGGGGTTGTCTCGGATTCACCCGAATTTTCTCGGTCTCTTCCGACATTTACCGAATTCTCTCACATTCTTTGGAAATTGCTTCAGTTCTTTAAATTTTTTGTGTTTTAGGTTCTTTGTTTTCTCTCGCATTATCTTGGATTCTTTCGGATTTTTTCGGAATCTTTTGAATTTTTGTGGAGTCTCTCCGAACCTCCCGAAATTTAATCGGATTCTTCCATATTCTTTCCGGATTTTTTCCTTATTCCTTCGGTATCTTCTGAATTCTCGTGAATTCTCTAGGTTTCTTTCGGATTCTTCCAGATTCTCTTTGATCCTCTTGGAATTTAGTCGAATTCTCTCGTATTCTTTCAGATTCTCTCATGTTTCCTCATATGCTTTCGGATTCTTTTCGCATTTTTTCGGATTCTCTCGAATCTGGGTTTTTTTTTAATTCTTTGCGAATTCTTTCGGATTCTCTTGGACTTTCTAGGATTCTCTTTGATCCTCTTGGAATTTAGTGGGATTCTCTCATATTCTTCCAGATTCTCTCATGTTTCCCAATATTCTATCGGATTCTTTTCGCACTCTTTCGGATTCTCTCGAATCTCTCTCGACATTTCCCGAATTCTCTCACATTCTGTGGAAATTGCTTGGGTTCTTAAATTTTTTTGTGTTTTAGGTTCTTTGTTTTCTCTCGCATTATCTTGGATTCTTTCGGATTTTTTCGGAATCTTTTGAATTTTTGTGGACTCTCTCCGAACCTCTCAAAATTTAATCGGATTCTTCCATATTCTTTCCGGATTTTTTCCTTATTCCTTCGGTTTCTTCTGAATTCTCGTGAATTCTCTAGGTTTCTTTCGGGTTCTTCCAGATTCTCTTTGATCCTGTTGGAATTTAGTCGGATTCTCCCGTATTCTTCCAGATTCTCTCATGTTTCCCATATTCTTTCGGATTCTCTCGAATCTGGGATTTTTTCAGATTCTTTGCGAATTCTTTCGGATTCTTTTGGACTTTCTAGGATTCTTCCCGCTTCTTTCCGATCCTCCCAAAATATGACGAGATTCTCTTGTATTCTTTCGGATTATTGCGTCTTCTTTCGATTTATTATTGGATTCTCTTAGATTCTCTCGGATTCTTTCAGATTCCCACGGATTCTTTCGTATGCTTTGGGGTTGTCTCGGATTCACACGAATTTTCTCGGTCTCTCTCGACATTTCCCGAATTCTCTCACATTCTGTGGAAATTGCTTGGGTTCTTAAATTTTTTTGTGTTTTAGGTTCTTTGTTTTCTCTCGCATTATCTTGGATTCTTTCGGATTTTCTCGGAATCTTTTGAATTTTTGTGGACTCTCTCCGAACCTCTCAAAATTTAATCGGATTCTTCCATATTCTTTCCGGATTTTTTCCCTTATTCCTTCGGTTTCTTCTGAATTCTCCTGGATTCTCTAGGTTTCTTTCGGATTCTTCCAGATTCCCTTTGATCCTCTTGGAATTTAGGCGGATTCTCTCGTATTCTTCCAGATTCTCTCATGTTTCCCCATGTTCTTTCGGATTCTTTTCGCACTGTTTCGGATTCTCTCGAATCTGGGATTTTTTCGGATTCTCTTGGACTTTCTAGGATTCTTCCCGATTCTTTCCGATCCTCCCATAATATAATGGGATTCTCTTGTATTCTGCGTCTTCTTTCGATTTATTATTGGATTCTCTTAGATTCTTTCGGATTCTTTCAGATTCCCACGGATCTTTTCGTATGCTTTAGGGTTTTCTCGGATTCACACGAATTTTCTCGGTCTCTCTCGACATTTCTCGAATTCTCTCACATTCTTTGGAAATTGTTTCGGTTCTTTAAATTTTTTGTGTTTTAGGTTCTTTGTTTTCTCTCGCATTATCTTGGATTCTTTCGGAATCTTTTGAACTTTTGTGGACTCTCTTCGAACCTCTCGAAATTTAATCGAATTCTCCCATATTCTTTCCGGATTTTTTTTCTTATTCTTTCGGGTGCTTCTGAATTCTCCTGACTTCTCTAGGTTTCTTTCGGATTCTTCCAGATTCTCTTTGATCCTCTTGGAATTTAGTCGGATTCCCTCATGTTTCTCCATATTCTTTCAGATTCTTTTCGTACTCTTTCGGATTCTCTCGGATTAAAAAAATGTATTTTTTTTACGAAACAAAAAAAATTCTCTCGTCCTCACAAAATAACTCATAATTTGAAATGTATTAGGGAGATTATTACAATTAAATATTTGGCAATGAAAAACGTGTAATGAATTGCAACAATGTAATCAATCATCCTACTAAAGTATTCAGTATGCTCTGAATTTTAAAACCCACATAAAATTCAAATTATGGGTATGAATGTGATGATTAACGATTTAGCTAGTTACGTTGTGGCACGACAGAATATGTTCTCATGTGATGATCGTTCAACTAGTATGAAGCACATTCGAAAACGAATTCAATTAATGAAGAAATTTCACATTAGCCCACTTGAGACCAAAGTGTTGATCCGGTTCAAAGGACCAAATTTATCAACCAGCCGTCTGCGAATATTTTCTCATTTATAAACTGCTCATTTGCAAAAAGTAATTACAATTTGTAAAATATGTCAATAATTACTACAGCTCATTATTACTTTAAACATATCTGGGGTAAAACTGTATATATTACGCACAATTACCACAATCATTCAGATAAATTACAAACCCCAGCAATCCGGCCACACTGATTCCATACAATCCTCAAGTTAAAAATTTCCATTTCCCTAACAATTTACGACACGCTATTCTCAGAAAGCTTGATATTTATCACAGCACCAAATTTCGGAACACTGAACCCTTAACCAATCCTATTTATTCCCCAGAGGCTTTTTTCTTCCACAAAATTACCCCACTATATGCATTCCATTACCCCGACTATTCACTCCAACCCTTATCACGCCTCTCACAGTCGATCGCCGCCTCCGTTCGATAACTCACTCTTCACCATAAAAACCGAATTAATTCAGCTTCCTTTTTATTTCCTTCGCATGAAACATCGTTAAACAGACGGCATTTTCAACCCGGCATGCAAACATATAAAATATTAATCAGGGTTCGCTCTGTAGCCAAATCGGAAAACTCCAGGGGTCAATTGCTACATTGCAGGGCCTCCTCACGTCGGAGAACTCCACCGCGGCCCCGCACGGTTCGTCGCTGCCCACCGGCGACGCCGCCTTCCTCGCCGTGGTGGCCGCCCTCGGCATCCTCGCCGCCATCACCGCCGGCCTGCTGCTGCACCTCTGCTTCTTCCACATCTACATCTCGTTCCTGGGCCTCACCACCTACGAGTACATCCGGCAGCAGCGCCAGACCCAGAACCAGACGCCCTCGCAGTCGCCGCAGAACGAGGAGGAGCCGAGTTTCCGCTGCCCGACGCTGCGCCACCGCCCCGCCAACCTGCACTGCGACGGCCGCACCAGGACCACCGTGGTCACGTGTACGGTCCTCGAGGAGACGTTCTCGAATTGTGCGGAGCCCACGCCGACGCCGCCGTCGACGCCGCAGGACTGCCAAGTGTGCGTGAGTAACTCGGTGGCGCCGGAGGCGGCGCGCCCGCCCCCGAAGAGGGTGAAGACCAAGTGGAACTGCTGCTTGGCGGTGCCGGATAGCCCGGACAGCCCGAACGAGCCGAGGTGCTTGATGAACATTTGCAAGCACAAGATGAAGAATAAGGGGATCCCGGCGATCGAGGGCAGGCCGAGGACGCACGGGCATTGGTCGAGTGCCAAGTTAAGAGTGCTTTTTAGAGTTTTAGGTAGGTCGAGCATTGTGACACTAATAGGCTATAAAATTTTATTAATATACCAAAACTGGTGTGCGAGCGATATTTTTTTTTTTGGTACTACCTTGCCAAGGCTAGTAATTTGTGCTTATAAATCCACGATCTGTCATCGATTTGGCACGCATTGGAAACAAGCCTGGTTTGTTAGCGATTCGAATAATCGAAATAGGACACAGACGGTTAAAAAGTTTCCACGTTCGCCTTAAATATTTAGCGAATTTTGTTTAAAAAGGTAGGTAAATTCTTGGTAATGGGAGGCTAATAAATTTAATATTATTTTGTTCAATATCTGTCTATTAATAAAACGCTAAATATAAACTTCGTTTCTCGACAATCAGACTGGTATTTACTACGTAAACGTCCTAATTTAGCTCGATCGATTATTCATTCATATTTCTGCAAAATTAAAAAAGTTTATGAGGTGCTATCATGAAAGACATATTAATAATGCATCAAGTTTTTTTCGGCAAAATCATCGCTGTTACTTTAATCACTTAAAAAAAAATTTATTTTGAAGTAACAAACTTGTCCAGTGGAAATTTTCATTTTTGAAAAAGTCGTCTAAAAATTATGAAAAAATTCAGGGTCATAGATCTTGACGTGGTAATTCCAAAAATATAGCATGTTTAGGGCCACGGAGAACTATTTTCGAAATATTCGGAGCGAAATTCGAATTTTTTTTATTTTTTAAAAATTGCAATATTTCAATGGGCGATTCTGGAGAAACTGTTGGACGAAATGAGGCCGGAAGTGACTTCTGTGGTCCGAAATCTACAAAAAATGTATTTAATTAAATTTCGAAAATCGTCGAAATTTGCATAGTGGAAATTTTCATTTTTGAAAAAGTCGTCTAAAAATTCTCAAAAAATTCAGGGATATACATCTCGACGTGCTGATGCCAAAAATATTGCGTGTTTATATTCATCGCGCAACATTTTCAAAATGCTGGGGTTTGAATTCAATTTTTTTTTTAATTCCAAAAATTTCGATATTTCAACGGCCGATTCCAGAAAAACAGGTTGGAGGGAGTTATCATAGAAACGAGATCGGAAGTGAGTTCTAGAGCTCGAAATCTATAAGAAAATTTCTTTAATTAATTTTCTAAAATCGTCGAAAAGGGGTCTAATTTTGTATTTTTGAAAAAGTCGTCTAAAAATTCTCAAAAAATTCAAGGATAGAGATCCCGACGTGCAGATACCAAAAATAAAGCGTGTTTGTGTTCGTCGCGCAACATTTTCAAAATGTTGGGGTTTGAATTCAATTTTGTTTAAATTCCAAAAATTTCGATATTTCAACCGTCGATTCTATAAAAACAGGTTGGAGGGAGTTATCATAGAAACGAGATCGGAAGTGAGTTCTAGAGCTCGTAAATTCAATTTTTTTTTTAATCCAAAAATTTCGATATTTCAACAGCCGATTTTGTATTTTTGAAAAAGTTGTCTAAAAGTTCTCAAAAAATTCAGGGATATAGATCAACAGCTATAGCGCAACATTTTCAAAATGTTCAGGTTTTCAAAACCAAATTTTTTTTTAATTCCAAAAATTTCGATACTTCAACACAGATTCTTGAAAAACAGTTGGAATTATCAAAGAAGCCAGATCGTAAATAAGTTCTAGAGTTGGAAATCTACAAGAATATATATTTAGTTAAGTTTCGAAAATGGTGAAAAATGGGTCAAAATTCGAAAAATTTCATATTTGAAAAAGTCGTCTAAAAATTCTCAAAAAACCCACTTTAACCACTTTTAAATTTTAAATTCAGTTTTCATGTTTATTTGAATAGATGTGACAACGGTAATTTCGGATTCGTGATTAGCGAAAGATTATCATTTGACACCCACCAATTTTCGGTTGATTGAAGTTATTTTAATCATTTTTTGGAAAAATTTTGAAAATTTCTAATGCACTAATCAGGTTTATTTGAATTGATGAGTGATGGCGATTTCGGATTCGTAATTAGCGAAAGATTATTATCTACAATTTGGCACCAACTTTCGATCGAATGAATTTGTTTTAACCATTCTTTTTTGGAAAAATTTTGAAAATTTTGGAATCACTTTTCACGTTTATTTGAATAGATCTCATGGCGATTTCGGATTCGTGATTAGCAAAATATCTACAATTTGAGACAAATTTTCAATCGATCGAACTTATTTTAATCACTTTTTGGAAAAATTTTAAAAATTGTGAACTCACTTATCACATTTTGAACAGATTTGGTGAGTACGATTTCGGATTCGTAATTAGGGAAAGATTACCACCATTTGACACCAGTTTTCGATCAATTGGACTTATTATAACCATTTTTTTTGGAAACATTTTGAATTCACTTTTCTCGTTTGTTTGAATAGATTTCATTTTTGAACATTTGTCTAAAAATTCTCAAAAAATTCAGGGATATAGATCTCGACGTGCTGATGCCAAAAATATATGTTATCGGGCAACATTTTTAAAATTTTTTGAAAATTTTGAATTGACTTTTCACATTTATTTGAATAAATGTCCCGACGACGATTTCGGATTCGTAAGTAGCGACAGATTATCTAGAATTTGACACCAATTTTATCTCGATTGAAATTATTTTAACCATTTTTGTGAAAACAAATTTTGAAAATTTTGAATTCCCTTTTCACGTTTATTTGAACAGATGCATCGACGATGATCTCGGATTCATAAGTAGCGAAAGATTGTCTACAATTTGACACCAATTTTCGCTCGATTGAACCAATTTTAACCTTTTTTTTTGGAAAAATTTTGGAAATTTTGAATTTACTTTTCACGTTTATTTGAATAAGTGCCACGAAGGAGATTTCAGATTCGTAATTATCTAAATATGTATTATCTACAATTTGACACCAATTTTCGATCGATTGGACTTATTTTAAGCAATTTTTTGGAAAAATTTTAAAAATTTTGGAATCACTTTTCACGTTTATTTGAATAGATCTCACGACGGCAATTTCGGATTCATAATTAACAAAAGATGATCTACAATTTGAGACCAATTTTCAATCGATCGAACTTATTTTAACCACTTTTTTGTAAAAATTTTGGAAATTTTGGTTACACTTTTCACGTTTATTTGAATAAATCTCACGACGACGATTTCGGGTTCGTAATTAGCAAAAGATTATCTACAATTTGGGACCAACTTTCTATCGATCCAACTTATTTTAACCACTTTTTTGGAAAAATTTTGAAAATTTTGAACTCATTGATCGCGTTTGTTTGAACAGAGTTGGTGACTACGATTTCGGATTCGCAATTTGGGAAAAATTATCTACAATTTGACACCAATTTTTGATCAATTGAACTTATTTTAACCATTTTTTTTTGGAAAAATTTTGAAAATTTTCGAATCACTTTTCACGTTTATGTGAACCGATTTGGTGACTACGATTTCGGATTCGTAATTCGGGAAAGATTATTTACAATTTGACACTAATTTTTGAACAATTGAAGTTATTTTAACCCATTTTTTGGAAAAATTTTGAAACTTTTGAACTCACTTATCACGTTTATTTGAACAGATTTGGTGACTACGATTTCGAATTCGTAATTAGGGAAAGATTATCTACAATTTGATACCAATTTTTGATCAATTGAACTTCTTTTAACCACTTTTTTGGAAACATTTTGAAAATTTCGAACTCACTTATCATGTTTACTTGAATAGATTTGTTGACGACGATTTAGGATTGGTAATTAGGGAAAGATTATCTATAATTTAACACTAATTTTTGATCAATTGAACTTATTTTAACTACTTTTTTGGAAAAATTTTAAAAATTTCGAACTCACTTATCACGTTTACTTGCATATATTTGGTGACGACGATTTCGGAGTGGTAATTAGGGAAAGCTTATCTACAATTTGACACTAATTTTTGATCAATTGAACTCATTTTAACCATTTTTTTGGAAACATTTTGTAAATTTTTGAATCACTTTTCACGCTTATTTGAATAAATTTCACGACAATTTCGGATTCGTAATTAACAAAAGATGACCTACAATTTGAGACCAATTTTCAATCGATCGAACTTATTTTAACCACTTTTTTGGAAAAATTTTGTTAAAATTTTGAACTCTCTTGTCACGTTTAATTGAACCGATTTGGTTACGGCGATTTCGGATTCGTAATTAGCGAAAGATTATCTACAATTTGAGACCAATTTTCAATCGATCGAACCTATTTTAACCGCTTTTTTGAAAAAATTTTGAAAATTTTGAACTCCCTTATCACGTTTATTTGAATAGATTTGTTGACAACGATTTCGGATTGGTAATTTGGGAAAGAGTATCTACAATTTGACACTAATTTTTGATCAATTGAACTTATTTCAACCACTTTTTTGGAACAATTTTGAATCTTTTAAACTCACTTATCACGTTTATTTGAACAGATTTGTTGACAACGATTTCGGATTGGTAATTAGGGAAAGGTTATCTATAATTTAACACTAATTTTTGATCAATTGAACTTATTTTAACCACTTTTTTGGAAAAATTTTAAAAATTTCGAACTCACTTTTCACGTTTATTTGAACCGATTTGGTGACTACGATTTCGGATTCGTAATTAGCGAAAGATTATCGACAATTCAAGACCAATTTTCAATCGATTGAACTTCTTTTAACCACTTTTTTGGAAACATTTTGAAAATATTGAACTCACTTAACACGTTTATTTCAATAGATTTGTTGATGACGATTTCGGATTGGTAATTAGGGAAAGATTATCTACAATTTGACGCTAATTTTTTATCAATTGAACCTATTTTAACCACTTTTTTGGAAAAATTTTGAAAATTTTGAACTCACTTATCACGTTTATTTGAATAGATTTGGTGACGACGATTTCGGAGTGGTAATTAGGGAAAGCATATATATACAATTTGACAGGAATTTTTGATCAATTGAACCTATTTTAACCATTTTTTTGGAAACATTTTTGAAAATTTTGAACTCACTTTTCACGTTTATTTGAATAGATCTCACGACGGCAATTTCGGATTAGTAATTAACAAAAGATTATCTACAATTTGAGACCAATTTTCAATCGATTGAACTTATTTTAACCACTTTTTTGGAAAAATTTTGAAAATTTTGGAATCACTTTCCACGTTTATTTGAATAGGTGTCACGAAGGCGATTTCAGATTCGTAATTAGCGAAATATTATCTACAATTTGACGCCAATTTTCAATCGATTCAAGTTATTTTAACCATTTTTTTGGAAAATGTTTCGAAAATATTGAATTCACTTTTCACATTTATTTTAATAGGTGTCACAACGTCAATTTCGGATTCGTAATTAGCGGAAGATTATCCACAATTTGAAGCCAATTTTGGATCGATTAAGCATTTTTTTTTTAAATTATTGAAAATTTTGAATTCACTTCTCATGTTTATTTGAATAGATCTCACGATGACAATTTCAGATTCGTAATTAGCAAAACATTATCTACAATTTGAGACCAATTTTCGCTCGATTGAACCAATTTTAACCATTTTTTTGGAAATTTTGAATTCACTTTCCACGTTTATTTCAATAGGTGTCACGAACGCGATTTCAGATTCATAATTATCGAAATATTATCTTCAATTTGACACCAATTTTCAATCGAAAGTTATTTTGACCGCTTTTTTGGAAAAATTTTGAAAATTTTGGAATCACTTTTCATGTTTATTTAATAGATCTCAGGACGGCAATTTCGGATTCGTAATTAACAAAAGATTATCTACAATTTGAGACCAATTTTCAATCGATCGAACTTATTTTAACCAGTTTTTTGGAAAAATTTTGAAAATTTTGAACTCATTGATCGCGTTTATTTAAACAGATTTGGTGACTACGATTTCGGATTCGTAAGTAGGGAAAAATTATCTACAATTTGACACCAATTTTTGATCAATTGAACTTATTTTACCCATTTTTTGTAAAAATTTTGGAAAGTTTGGAATACTGTTCACATTTATTTTGAACAGATGTCACGACGGCGATTTTGGATTCGTAATTAGTAAAAGATTATGTACAATTTGACACCAATTTTCGATCAATTGGACTTATTTTGACCATTTTTTTGAAAAAATTTTGAATGCTCTTTTCTCGTTTATTTGAATGGATGTCATGACGGCGAAAAATTTCATTTTTGTTACATAGATCTCGACGTGCTGATGCCAAAAATGTAGCGCAATATTTTCAAAATATTCGTGTTTAAAACCAATTTTTTTTTAAATTCCAAAAATTTCGATATTTCAACACCGATACTAGAAACACGGTTGAAGTTATCAAAGAAAGGAGATCGGAAATGAGTTCTAGAGCTAGAAATCTGAAAGAAAAGTTTCGAAAATGGTGAAAAACGCATCGAAATTTGAAGAAAGAAAAATTTCATTTTTCAAAAAGTTGTCCAAAAATTTTCAAAAAATTCAGGGATGTGGATCTCGACGTGGTGACTCCAAAAATATAGTGTGTTTATCTTCAAAGATGTCTGTCAGTTGAGATTATAAATATAAACGATTTAAAAATTCAATGGATTCAATGTGACCATAAACACGATTTTTTCCAAATTTCGCTTCTATAACTAATAATTTTAATAAACAATAATAATAATAATTCCAGGTAATTTGGGGCACAACCGCCGACGGAACCAGTCCCAGTCCCAAGTAGCTAGAAATAACCAAGTGGTGCCTGTATCGAATGAATCATCGAACAACCCTCCCGAGGCGGTCCAGACCGTCAACAACCTAGTGCCAGTGCCGTGCTATCCCGAAGTGTCTCGTCGCGCCAACGCCCTTCCGGCGCTGCCCAACCCCCCCAGGCGCCGCCTGGTCAGCGAGATGGAGCTCGCCAACGCCCTCACCATCCTCCAGCAGCAGCAGCAGCGCTGCAACCGGCGTCCCATGTCCCAGTACAGGCGGAGAAGACGCAGTGTGGTGCATCGTCCCAAAACCCCGGCGCTCTCCCCCATCCGGGAGAGCGGCCTGTCCAATCCCGCGTCTCCGTCCCATCAGAACTGTACCGTGGCCGCCATCAGCGGCGCGTGCACGCGTCCATTTTGAACGGACCCTTCGCCAGTGTGCCCTTCATCAACATCGTGCCAAATACCGGAAGTACAATCGATTGACTAAAGTTCTCGCTAGCGTCCCATCCTGGAGTGATGTAGGTAGTTTTTTATACGGGGTGTTGGGGTCGAGATCGACGGGCTGCCAGGACCCGGACGGTAGAAACATTCTATGATGATAATAATAATAATAATAAGATCATCAATTCTAAATAGATTTAAACAACTGTTTATTGTTGATCTGATCTACCGCAACACCATTTATACATACATACCTTTAAAGTACATATTTGAAAATTACCTACTGTAGTCGCAATAGCATACTGAATGTTTGGAAATTGTACTAGTGTGAGTTCCGTCCTTAGTAACAGTTGGTTTACCTACGAGTGATCGTACTGACGCGACCTAGATAACCAAAGACACCCATGAGTCGTAAATCCTGATGCGGGACTCTCGACCTATGTCTCGCCACAATCGTGTAACCTCTCACGCGATTTAAAGGTTAACAAAGATACGACATCCGTCGCTGCAGTCTTGTTTATTCAGAAATAGAATGAATGTGAAAAATAACAGTTCTATTGATTAAATAATGAAGAATAATTCGTTCGCGCTTGATCCGCGTTAAAAGTTTCCAGAAATATGACAGACTTGTTTCCGCGAGTATTCTTAGTACAGAGTCTTATCAAACGCTTTCTGGTCGTTTCTGCGTCTGGCTAACGATATCAAAACAGAAATTTGTTCAGGGTAGAACTGGAATATCAAAAATTCATTAATATCAACGTACATGTTTTATTTCATGAAAGATTCATATCGTCTTGAAACCAGTAATTTGTTTTTAAATTGCAACATTAATGAAAGTGAAACGTATTTATTATGAATGTAGAAACCTTCGTCCAGTTTCTGAGAACTGTAGAAACAGTTCAGAATTTTTGCTGAATTTAAATTCTATACTTTTTATAAACAGAGTTCGATTTCAAACAATTCGTTTTTTAAATTGACATCCTTACTAAAAAAATCGTAATTTTAAACAAAATCAAGGTCGATCCATAAACCACAAGTACAAGATATGTATATAAAAACTAAATGGCCTTTATTGAAAAACATCATCAAATCAAACGATTACACAAAAATACTCAATCGCGTTTTCATCTGTCTGCGTGTGTTAATTTTTAAACATTTTAGACAGATAATCTCAAAAACTACAGGACCGATTGTTGTCAAATTTTATGTGTACGTTCAGAGTGTTCTGTAGATGGTCCAGTCGATTGGATCCATTTTAAGAATTTTTTTGGAATAATTTTGGAAATTATATAACTTTTCACGTTTACAATTTCGTATTTGTAATTAACGGATGGTTATCTACAATTTAACCCGAATTTAAAGTCCATTGAATACATTTTTACTACTTTTTTGGAAAAATTTTGAAAATAGTAAACTTACTTTTAACGTTTATTTAAATAAATATCGGAACGGCGACTTCGGATTCGTGATTAGTGGAAGATTATTTCCAATTTGACGCCAATTTTCAGTCAATTTTTTTTTGAAAAATTTTGAAAATTTTGAACTCACTTACCATGTTTGAGTAGATGCGCTGACGGCGATTTTGGAATCGTAATTAGAGAAAGCTTATCTACAATCTGAAACAAATTTTCGAGCGATTGAACTTATTTTAACCCTTTTTTTGGAAAATTTTTGAAAATTTTGAACCCACTTATCAGGTTTATTTGAACATATGTGGTAGTGGCGATTTCGGATTCGTAATTAGCAAAAGATTATCTACAATTTGACACCACTTTATCAGCCGATTGAACTTATTTTAACCATTTTTTTTGAAAAATTTTGAATTCACTTTTCACGTTTATTTGAATCGATGTCACGACGGCGATTTCGTGCTGTTACAAATTAGCGAAAAATTCTCTACAATTTGACATCAATTTTTGCTCGATTGAAATTATTTTAACCATTTTTTTGGTAAAATTTTGAAAATTTTGAACTCACTTATCACACTTATTTGAATAGATGCGGTAACGGCGATTTTAGATTCGTAATTAGCGAAAGATTATCTACAATTTGACACGAATTTTCAGTCGATTGACCTTATTTTAACCATTTTTTTGGAAAATTTTTGAAAATTTTGAATTCACTTTTCACGTTTATTTGTATAGATGTCACGACGGCGATTTTGGGTTCTTAATTAGCGAAAAATTGTCTACAATTTGACACCAATTTTTGATCAATTGGACTACTATTAACTTTTTTTTTGGAAAAAGTTTGAAAATTTTGAACTCACTTATCTCGTTCATTTGAATAGAATTGTTGATGACGATTCACTTTTCACGTTTATTTGAATAGGTGTCATGACGACGATTTCGGATTCGTAGTTAGCGAAAAATTATCTACAGTTTGACACCAATTTTCGTACGATTGAACTTATTTTAACCATTTTTTTGGTAAAATTTTGAAAATTTTCAACTTACTTCTCACGATTTTTTGAATATATGTCACGACGGCGATTTCAGATTTGTAATTAGCGAAATATTATTTACAATTTGACACTAATTTTTGATCAATTGAACCCATTTTAATCATTTTTTTGGAAAATTTTTGACAATTTTAAATTCACTTCTCAGGTTTATTTGAATAGATGTCACGACGGCAATTTCGGATTCGTAATTAGCGAAGTATTATCTACAATTTGACACCAATTTTCGATTGATTGAGCTTATTTTAACCATTTTTTTGAAAAATTTTGAAAGTCGTGAATTCCCTTTTCACGTTTATTTGAATAGAAGTCATGGCGGCGATTTCAGATTCGTAAGTAGCGAAAGATTGTCTACAATTTGGCACCAATTTTTGCTCGATTGAAATTATTTTAACCATTTTTTTGGAAAAATTTTGGAAATTTTGAATTCACTTATCACGTTCATTTGAATAGATGTGGTGATGGAGATTTGGGATTCGTAATTAGTGAAAGATTATCTACAATTTTACTCCAATTTTCGATCGATTCAACGTATTTTAACCATTTTTTTGGAAAATTTTTGAAAATTTTGAACTTACTTATCACTTTTAATTGAATAGATGTCACGACGACGATTTCGGGTTCGCAATTAGCGAAAGATTATCTAAAATTTGACACCAACTTTCGATCTGAATTTATTTTAACCACTTTTTTGGAAAAAAAATTCGAAATTTTGAATTCACTCTTAACGATTATTTGAATAGATGTCTCGACGGTGATTTCGGATTCATAATTAGCGGACGATTATCTACAATTTGAAAGCAATTTTCGATCGATCGAAGTTATTATAACCACTTTTTTTTTTTGGAAAAATTTTGAAAATTTTGATCTCAGTTCTCACGTTTGTTTGAATAAAGTGGTGACGGCCATTTCAGATCGTAATTAGTAAAGATTATCTACAATCTGATAACAATTTTCGATCGATTTATCTTATTTTAACCATTTTTTTGGAAAAATTTTGAAAATTTTGAATTAACATTTCACGTTTATTTGATTACATGTCTCGACGGCGATTTCGGATTCGCAAGTAGCGACAGATTGTCTACAATTTGACACAAATTTTCCCTCAATTGAACTTATATTAACCATTTCTGGGGAAAATTTTTAAAATTTTTAATTCACTTTTCACATTTATTTGAATAAATCTCACGACGGAGATTTCGGATTTGTAATTAGCGCAAAATTTTCTACAATTTGATGCCAATTTTCGATCGATTGGACTTATTTTAACCATTTGTTTGCAAAAATTTTGAAAACTTTGAATTCCCTTTTCACGTTTATTTGAATAGATGTGGTGATGGAGACTTGGGATTCGTAATTAGCGAAAGATTATCTACAATTTGATTCCAATTTTCGATCGATTGAACTTATTTTAACCATTTTTTTGAAAAAATTTTGAAAATTTTGAATTCACTTATCATGTTTATTCGCATAGATGTAGTGATGATGATTGGAAAATCGAATAATTGGAAAAACGTAAAATGGAAAATCCGGAAAGTCAAAAAAACGCAAAATCGAAAAGTTAGAAATTGAAAAAATAAAAAATTTACAATTAGAAAAATACCGGCACCTAAAGGGAAAAATCGATAAACTAAAATCGAAACATCCAAATCTCGAAAAATAAACTGAAAAAGAAAACAATTTTAAAACCGAACAATTAAAAATTCGAAAAAGAAAATTTTTAAAAAAGTCGGGTAATTGAAAAACCGAAAAATCTACAACCGAAAATTAGGAAAATCGAAAAAACGAGCAATCGAAATATCAAAAAATCGAAAAATAAAAATATTGAAGAATTGAGAAATCCAAAATTTAAAAAAACGAGAAATCTAAAAATGAGAAAGTCGAAAAATTGAAACATAGAAATACCTAGAAATCGAGAAATCGAAATATCTGAAATTTAAAAATTGCAAAATGAAAAAATCGGAAAATTGAACAATTCAACAACCGAAAAACCTAGAAATCGAAAAATTCTGCATCTGAAATTACGAAAAATTGGAACATCCAAAAATTGAAAAATGGAACATCGAAAAATTGGAAAAATGTAAAATGGGAAAACCGAAAGTCGAAAAATTGAGAAATCAAAATAACCCAAAGTCGAAAATATAGAAATTGAAAAATAAAAAAATTTAATATCAAAAAAGACCGATACCTAAATCGGAAAATTGAAAACCTGAAAAATCGATAAACTAAACATCCAAGTCTCTCAAAATAAACTCAAAAAGAGAAAAATTTTAAAAAGTCCTGAAATTGAAAAACCGAAAAATCTAAAACTGAGAATTAGAAAAATTAAAAAATCGAGAAATCGAAACATCAAAGAACTAAAAAAAGTCTAAAAATTCGAAAAATTAAAAACTAAAAATTCGCGAAATCGAAGAAGCTGAAATTTAAAAATTTGAAAAATCGAAAAAGTAAACAGGCGAGAAATCGAAAAGTCAAAAAATCGAATAAAATTGAAGGATCGAAAAATTGAAAAAAATCAAAAACTGGAATATCGAAAAAGTGAGAAATCGAAAAACTGAAATCGAGAAATAGAAGAATTGAATCATTAAAGATTTGAAAAACTGAAAAATCGAAAAATCGGGAACTTATCAACTTTTTTATTCCCATTTATTTAATCGTATTTTTTGCTTTTTGTTTTTTGGTGCCTTTTTTGTCGCTTCTTTTTTTCATGTTTATTTTGCCTTTTTTGTTGCTTTTTAATATATTTTTTTTTGCTACTATGTTTCCAGAATTGGAAAATTATTCATTAAAAACATACAGAAAAATTCATAAGTATATAATACGACCAATATTTATCTATTTTTTTAAATATACGTATAGTCTTTTTTCACAATAAGAAACTTAAAACATGTTTAAAATTATACAGGGGACTATTAGTGAAAGATTATCTACAATTTGAAGCCAATTTTCGATCGATTCGACTTATTTTAATGAATCTTCAAATTTTGTGTTTAGGTTAGACATTATAGACATCCAGTTTTTTGGCAAGAAAACTGAACGTGCTTAATAAATAAAGAGGAAAGGAGGAATGAATGAATGAATGAATGAATTAAGGCGTAAGCTAAGGAAGCATTGTAATAGGGTGAATGGCTACTATCATGTTTTCTTGACGTTTCATGACCCCGAGAGTACTGTAGAAGAGGTATCCCGTTTTCGTCTGTCTATTTTTATTAGACAGAACGAAACTAATGATAAAATCGTGTAGATGGTAAAACGTCAACCAAAATTTGTCCGATCACCCCCACCAACAATTTAATGACGTCCCCTCATCATTTTGCATAGTAAAGGTTACATAAATTTTATAAAATAATATACACCTATACTCGTGGTTTATGAATCCACCTTCAATTTTATCACAAT